CTGGAATGGCCTGGGCCAGAGAAGCTTCAAAGGTGAAAGAGAGCCAGTCCCTGCCTCCTGGGGCCCACATTCGGCACAGACAAGGAGCACAGCTGTGATCATTTACTGAATTTCTATTATCAGAACCGGGTGGGTACTTGAATGATATGGTGTCTAATCCCTAAAACTTCCTGTTCTGGGAGGTGTTAAAGTGGAAAGTGGAGAAGAAAAACAAAACAAAACAAAGACTAGACCAAAAAAAAGTGGAAAAAAATAAAAACAAACAAAAAAAGAGGAAAGTGAGACTCAGAGGAGCTAAGTTCTACAAGGGCACACAATTCAAGAGCAGATCCGAGATTTGAACCAGGACCGTCCCACCCAGGTGCTCTTCATTCCCCACACCTGCCTCTACAGCCTCTATGGGCACAGGGAAGGAGTGTGTGAGCTGTGAATACATTAAGCTGTGCCCCAAAGCAGAGTGCTTGGTTCATCCAGCTCCAAACCTGTCTCTTCCCCAAGCTTCCCCCTCTCAATGAACAGTCCTGCCATTCACCACATTACTCAAGTCAAAAACTCGGGAGCCAGGCTTGACTTTCTTTCCTCTCCCCATCCAATCCATCAGTGGGGCCTTTTGTGTCTACCTCCATGAGATCTCTCAAATCAACCTACTTTTCTCCACTTCCACTGCTACCAACCTAAGCCATACCCTATTATCTTTCCTCACCTATGAAATAGGCTCCCGATTGGTTTCTCAGCTTCTGCTCTGGTCTCCTTCCAGCCTATCCTTCACACGGCAACAGGAGTGGCCTTTTAAAAGTGTGAGTCAGATCGTGCCCCTCCTGCCTTGGAGCCCATCTCACCACATTTAGAATAAAAGACTCACTTTGGACTTCAAGGCCCCACAAGATCTGACTCCTGCCTTCCTCTCTGTGGTAGACTGTTTCCAAAATTGGCCACAGTCCTTCCCTTTCCTGTGTGCATGGCACTTTGCAGCGTGACTTTACAGGTGCTTCCTATCAAGGAATAGAATTTATTTCTCCATCCCTTGGATCTGGGCTAGACTTGTGACTTGCTTTGGCCAACAGAATGTGGTGGAAATGACACTGTTCTGAGCCCAGGCCTCAAGAGGCCTCATGTGCTTCCACTCTCCTTCTTGGAACCTTGCCAAGCTCTCATGTGAACAGGCCCGAGCTACCCTGCTGGATGATAAACATACAACCCGGTCATCGCCACAGCCCTAAACTGACAGCCAGCCAACTCCCAGAAGTAGAGCTGCCTAGCAGCTGACCACAGATGTATGAGTGAGCTCATACAGGACCAAGAGGGACCCAGCTGAGCCCAGCCTACATTGCTTGTCCACAGTCTCGTACGCTATATAAATGGTTGTTGCTTTCAGCCACAAAATGTTAGGTGGTTTATTATACAGCAAGAGCGAACCCACACACACTCCGACTGTATCCCACGTGATTCTACTTTAGCTGGCTGGCCACTTTTTGTTCCTTTCCTGCACCAGGGCCTTGGTATTTGCTGTTGCCTCTGCCTGGAATGAGTTTCCTGTGGCTGATTCTTCTTTCAGGTTTCAGCTCAGAGATATCTCCTTGGTGAGCCTTCCCCAAACATGTCATCTAAGATTCTTCTCTACCCCTGTCCCCTGCCAATTACTATCACCCAGGTTTACTGCCTATTCACAATCTGTAAACTGCTATCTTGTTCTTTTTTTTTTTTTTGCGGTACGCGGGCCTCTCCTGTTGCGGAGCACAGGCTCCGGACGCGCAGGCTCAGCGGCCATGGCTCACGGGCCCAGCCGCTCCGCGGCATGTGGGATCCTCCCAGACCAGGGCACGAACCCGTGTCCCCTGCATTGGCAGGCGGACTCTCAACCACTGCGCCACCAGGGAAGCCCTATCTTGTTCTTTAATACATTTATTTATTACCTATTTCTTAGGCTAGAATGTAATCTCTATAATCTCTTTTCTCTTTACTGCTGTATCTCCTGAACCAAGCACAAAGATTTCACACAAAGTAGGCACTCAACACATATTTTTTGAACAAATGAAGGAAGGAAGGAGTTAGGAGGAACATCAGGTAGTAAATATGAATCGGAGCCTCACGTCTGACACCTTTGTATCCTTGGCTGGTCACTGTCCCCACAGGCAAGAAAATATTCTGAGTTCTCAACAAAGATGGAAAGCAATGGCAGTGAGCACTGGTGAGAGCAGGTCAGAGGGGCTTCTAGAAGGGAAGAAGTGGGCTCACCTGGTGTATGGCATTGAGCAGTGGGGAAAAGAGGTCGGTGTCGTAGGTGGAGCGTCTGCCTTGCAACACGGCCAGCAGCCTTTCCAGGCCCATTCCCGTGTCCACGTGCCGCTGGGGCAGGGGCTGCAGGCTTCCATCTTTCTCTCTGGCCAGGAAGGGTATGCAAGGTGAGGCCCCCCACAGGATTACAGGTATGAGGCAGACGCTCAAGTGGCATAAAGGGATGGGGGAGGGTCCTGGGGGGCTGACAATGGGAGGAACCAGAGGGCAGTATCATCCCCCCACCCCCACCCCCAAAAGCAGACGACGATGGCTTTGGGTCCCGTCCTTTCTCATAAAGAGTGATCTCCACCTTCACCCTCTGCTTGGGCCCTTGCCTGGACCCAGGCCTCCCCTTTCTGGGACACAATTCTTTGCTTCAGAAAGAGACATGTCAAGGCTGGTAGAAAATCTTAAGAGATCATCAAATTCAACTCCATCATATAAGAGAGCAGAGTCTGGAGAGCAGCAGTGACTAGTTTCAACTGTTATGGGCAAAGATGAGGATCTGAAAAGTGTTTAGAAATATGCCTGGCACATTGTAAATGCCGTTTAAGTGTTTGTTTTTATAAAAAATGGATGAAAGTGTCCTGACTGCCGCCTTTTTCACTTCCAGTCAGGGAATTCCCTCCTGCTCTCGCATCCCATTACCTGTTGTGCTGCATGAAGACCAGATTCCAAAGCTCCACCAGCTGGGGGGCTCCCACCCCACCAGCCAGGTCATAGTGGATCTCAGTACAGGGCCCACAAGGGCCAGTATCCCCCATCTCCCAGAAGTTCTCCTGTGGTCCAAAGGAGAGCATGCGGCTGGCAGGCACCCTGGGAAGGAAGCCAGATGGGTGGTGGGGAGACAAAGGCAGAACCTGGGACCCCCTCTGCCAGGAGAACCCTTCCATTACGCTCAGCAGAAGGAGGAACAGGGCTGACCCTACAGTATCCCAGGATATGCCGAGACTCTCTGGTAGTCTCTATTTTCCAGTCCTCTTGTGCTCCAGGAGTGGACATAAGTGGGGGTGGACTCACCCTAACTTAAGCCAGATGTCCCTGCTCTCCAGGTCCGGGCCCAGCCCAGCCTTGGGGTCACCACCAAAGTAGGAGACCCAGAGCCTGTCCTCAGGGATCCCATAGACCTGAGTCAGCAGTTCCCAGGCCATGCTGCAAGCCTCCTCCTGCAGTGCAAACCCATTGGGAAGAGGAAAATGGGTGAGAAGAAGGCCCCACTGAAGTTCCAATCAAGCCACATGAGTTCAGCCCTCAGCTTAAGACAAAACCATTTCCACTACCCACGTTGTTTCCAGAACAAGCCATGACTATTTCTAATTCTGAGTTTTTCCTGCATAGAAAGCGTCCTCCCTCTTCTGAATCCTACATTCTTTCAAGTCCCACCTTCTCCATGAAATCCTCTATCCACCCTAGCCTGGGATGATTTTTAACTCCTGCACTTTAGTATTGCTGTCTCACCATTTATTCATACAATAATTATTGACCAACCATTAGGCAGGAGGCATAGTCCTGGCCCTCAAGGAGTTTACAACCCAATCAGGGAAACGAGACACATTCCTATTATAAGTGTTCATCTAGCACTTTGCCTCTGTGTCTGGTCTGAAGCCCTCCCTAAGCAGACTCTAAGAGCGGAGACAGGACTAACCTTGACCCCTTTCTTGGCTGACCACTGACCCTTTCCTAACTCCAGGGCTTCCTGGAGACTCACCTTAAAATATACCCCCCGAAAGGCCCAATTGCCAAGCATCTCAAAGAAGGTATGATGGGAAAGGTCTCGGCCCACATCCTCCAGGTCGCTGTGGCGTCCTCCAGCCCTCACACATTTCTGGCTGTTCGCCACACGTCGGAAGCCTGCCATCTCGCTTCGTGGATCCACAGTGCCCAGGAAGATTGGCTTGAACTGGAAACAGATGAAGGGCGAGAGAGACATCCCAGACCCTCAGCAGAAGGGAAACGTGGAGGGTGTGGAGAGAGATGGTAGTTCAGAGTGAAGGCTGACCGTGCCCCTGAGAGGCCAGGGGGGCAGATTGGGAGCGTGGGGGCGCCCATCTCCGGTGTGTCTGGGCAGACAAGGGGTAAATAAATCATGAAACAGAGACTCTGCTAATAAAATAAGCAAGGTAAAAGAAGGAGGAATGCGTTGGTGGCTGGAAATAGAGCAAGTCTAGAGAGGGTAAGTGGTGCTCAAAGTCAAAAGCTTAGAGAACCCAGTCTAGCACGTAGCATGTGCTCAACATCTATTTTAATGAATGACTTGCCTTTATTTAAAGAACTAATAAATGAAGCCAGACTTCCCCCACGGGACTCCACACCCGCCATTCCTGGACCTAAAACTCAACCTCAACTCAGAAGTTGCCCGGTGGAGCCCTCTCCAAGCCCTAACTTGCGCCCCAATCTCGAAGCCTAACCACACACAGCCCTCCTTCCCCCGAAAGCTAGGAGCTCCGCCCTTCGCTTCTTTTGCCCAATCCCGCAACGCCTTTCTCTCAGGAACAAGTCACAAACTCCGCCCGGATCAGCGTGGCTCAGTCCCTACCTGGTTCATGCCCGCGTTGACGAAAAGCAAGCTGGGGTCGCCGCGCGGCCTCACGGAAGCGGACGGCACCAGGCGGTGGCCATGGCGGTCCCGAAAGAAGCTCAGGAAGGCGTCCCGCACGGCCGCGGCCTGGGTTGGAGGGGCCTCGGATGAGAGCGCCCGACGGCTGGGGCCCCGCCATTGCGGCGTCCTTCGAACGGCCCGCCGAAGTCGCCCGGCTGCAGCTGCCACCGACACCGCCATCTTAACTCGGGGCAATGACTTCACAGGGTCAAAGGGCAGTGCGGGATAGAAGGTAACTTGAGAAGGAGACCAGGCGTTTCCTACAGCGACGCCTTGCTACAGGAGGAGTCAAAGCAGCTTCTGCCTCCGCGTGGAGGTGATTGGGAAGGAGGCGCCTGCCAGAGTCCATCTAACACAAACGGCCTGGAACACAGTAGGCCCTTAATTCATTTGGCATTCAACAGATATTCATTGAGAGGTAGCTGTGTGCCAGGCATTATTTTAGGCGCTTAAGGTCCATTAGTAACAAAACTGACAGGGAATTCCCTGGTGGTCCAGTGGTCAGGATTCTGGAGCTTTCACTGCTGGGGCGGGGTTGGATCCCTGGTGGGGAAACTAAGATCTCGAAAGTCACAGGGCACAGACCAAAAAAAAAAAAAAAAAAAAATTGACAAAAATCCCTGCTCTCCAGAAATATATATTATAGCACTGATAATTATGTTTAATTTTTTCATTTACATGTTACTTCTATTTTTCTTTTTTATTGAAGTATAGTTGATTTACAGTGTTGTGTTAATCACTGCTGTACAGCAAAGTGACTCAGTTATACATATGTATACATTCTTTTTCATATTCTTTTCCATTATGGTTTATCACAGGATACTGAATATAGTTCCCTGTGCTATACAGTAGGACCTTGTTGTTTATACAGTTATGTTTATTAATTTTGCAAGGTTACAAATACAGTTGCAGTGAAAAGGTGTGGATTCAACTCTGTGTGGTGTATGTATACGTGTGTGTGTGTGTGTGTGTGTGTGTGTGTGTGTGTTTCCAGGCTGAGGGAAGAAGGCAGAGATGGCCAAGGGAGGTGATATCAGCATTCATTCAAGAGTCATTCAACTAATATTTATTGATAACTACTATGTGTCAGACAGTGTGCTGTGTACTTCCTGGTTCTTTTTGCCCTTGGCATTGGAAATGGCCATTTTGTTCTTAGGGAGTGAAGCAGGCCCTTTGGAGCAGGAGTTTAGCGAAGACAGAAGCCAAGCAGCATCTGTTCCATTATTAATTGCTTAATAACATTTGGTCTTTTAATGTGCCTGGGGATTAGAGAGACTCCAGGCCATCAGGGCAGGTCGAAGCTGTTGGATGATTGCTGAAGAGATCTCTCTCTCTCTCTCTCTCTCTCTCAGCCTCCCAATGCCCTAGGGTTTTGTGTGTTTTGCTTTAGGGTAAGAGAGACACCTGTTCCACCTCCCTTTCTGTCTTACTCTCCATGGTAACAGCTGTGACCATGAGGCCAACACAAGCATTTGTGGGTGGAGCCAGATTCTTCACGGGCTTCTCTTGATACCCTCTGCTCTTGGTGTGGGAAATTAAGCAGGTAGAGAAGAGAATTTGATAAGGTTAAAGCCCAATAGGGGCAGCAGAGCTGAGGTCAGTGTGATCACCTCTAAGGCTTCAGTCATCCAGCTGAGCTCTTTTGGCCACCATTCTTTGTGAGTTATGTTTTTCAGGGACTTTGAAGACAGTTTCCTTGGGAAATGTGTAGTCTTTTTTTGGACTTGAGTTTCTATAGTGATAATGAATTCTTGACTTTGTATTCTGACAGAACCCATGGCATCTATCCTGTGATCCTCTGTTTCTTCCCTTGCCCACGTAGATTAAAGGTGTTGTTTTGAAAGTGTTTTGCCTGTTGGTTTTTCCAGTATTTTTGGAACAGGAACCTAAAGCCAGATGGGGATTTCTGTGAGATTCATGATCTCGAGACCAGACTGTGGAATTCTTCCCCAAATTGAGATGGGAGTGTTTTGCTAGAGAAATCTAGTAATGTCCTCTACCCAGTACTGACGTCACCTTTTTTTCTCCTTCAGATTTTGCCCAGAAAGTCTTTGCATTATAGTAGGAACTCCATGTTTTTAGACTATTGTGGATCTAGAGTGGAGCCATGGATTTTTTTTTCCAAACAGCTTTAATGAAATACGATTCACATACCATACAATTCACCCACTTAAAGTGCACAATTCAAATGGCTTTTAGTACATTCACAGAGTTGTTATCTAACTTTTAGAATATTGAGATCATTTTCATCACCTCCAAAAGAAACCCCATACCCTTTAGCTATTAACCCCCAATTCCCGCATTCCTCCCAGCCCTAGGCAATCACTAATTACTTTCTATCTCTAAAGATTTGCCTATTCTGAACATTTCATATAAATTGAATCATACAATATATGGTCCTGTGTGACTGGCTCCTTTCACTTAGCATAATGTTTTCAAGGCTTATCCATGTTGTAGTACGTATCATGGATTTTTAGAAATGGGTATTTTGGGTTGTTTTCTGTTTGAAGAACGTTTTTTCCCCCTCATCTTGTTATTTTGTCCTTGCCATTAAAAATGATTTTTTTTTTTTTGGACTGTGGTGTCCTCTGGTGAGTCAGTCTCTTCTTTTTGATATTCCCCAGTGAAGCAAAGTGGTTCTTCTAGGATTGGGATGTGCTTATTCTGATTTGCCACTGTCATCTGATGAGGAAGTTAAATTTAAGTTCTACAGTTTCCCAAGATAGATGAATATGGAGACAACTCACCAGAGTGGGAAGTTACTGACCTCAGAACTTCTCTTAGGAGTTCTCGTATGTCTTAATTATAAAAGAAATTTCGTTTGGGGGTTTAAAATGGAAATGGGGTCTGTCTCCTGGGAGCTGTTCAGCAAGGTTTGGGTACTGCCTTCCCTAGGGCTGGAATTGCCCTTATGTTGCTGTCTGACTTACTTATCTTGGCAAGCCCAAGGAGCCCATTCTTAGAGCCTTCTCTTTCCACATTATTCATAAGAAGTAATGCCTTTACACTGGGAATGGAAATTGGCCTTCCTGATTTCCCCATTGACTTTGAGAGCAGGAACCTGAGGTCAGTGATGCATTCCATCCTGAACGGATGGTCAGAGGAGACACGAGGGGATTTTCACCCTTGCTAAGCATAAGGAACTCGGCTGTGGGAACTTCTGCTTGTAAATCATAAAGGCTGTTTTTTAGGGTCTAGGTTAAAAGTTCAACCTACAAGAGGTGTTCCTATTTTTATGTATTTATTATTAATTTTTTTTTTTTGCGGTACGCGGGCCTCTCACTGTTGTGTCCTCTCCCGTTGCGGAGCACAGGCTCCGGACACGCAGGCTCAGCGGCCATGGCTCACGGGCCCAGCTGCTCTGCGGCATGTGGGATCTTCCCGAACAGGGCCACAAACCCGCGTCCCCTGCATCGGCAGGCAGACTCTCAACCACTGTGCCACCAGAGAAACTCCTATTATTAATTTTTTAATAAATTTATTTTTGGCTACTTTGGGTCTTCATTGCTGTGTGTGGGCTTCTCCCTAGTTGTGGGGAGCGGGGGGTACTCTTTGTTGTGGTGCACGGGCTCTAGGCGCGCAGGTTTCGGTAGTTGTGGCACACGGGCTCGGTAGTTGTGGCACACGGGCTCAGTAGTTGTGGCACACGGGCTTAGTTGCCCCACGGTGTGTGGGATCTTCCCAGACCAGGGATCGGCTTCAGGGATGTCCCCTGAATTGGCAGGCAGGTTCTTAACCACTGTGCCACCAGGGAAGCCCCCCGACGTATTTATTTATGGCTTTGCCTTAAATAAAACAACGCTTTATTGTGAAAGCAACGCTTGTCAAACGTTAATATGCATAGGAATCTCCCGGGATCTTGTTAAAAATGCAGACGCTGATTCAGTAGGTCTGGGGTGAGGTTGAAATTCTGTATTTCTACCAGGCTCCATGGTGGTGCTGTTGCTGCCTCTCCTCTACCAGGCCAAGGGTGTGGTAGAGGACTTGTGGGAAGAGTGTGGACACAGACTTTGGCTTGGGACCAGGCCCTTGGGCTTGGGTGCTCCAGTGATCTCCTCTTTCTCCCGGAGAGGGTGGGTGGAGCCGGGAGCTCCTTGGGCGCATGCGTGCTCGCTCCCCTCCTCCCCACCCGGAGTCTAGGGAGGGTGGAGGTTGCGTCGGCCTGTTGCTAAGAGACGCGAAGGCGGTAAGGACCAGCGGCTGGGGAGGGTAGCGGCGCCCGGCGCTCTCGGGAGCCCAGCTAGAGCTGGGAGAGCAGATGGCGGGGTGGAAGGGTCGGAGCCTCCTGGGATCGGAAATTCAAGGATTAGTGGACCTTCGAGGGTCGCAATGCTCGGGTTTGTCCTTATGCATTTTTAAATGGTTACATTTAAATGGTTATATAAGTACCTACATAATATCCTTGATTTTGCTGCTTGGCCTGCAAAATCTAAAATACTGTCTGGCCCTTTGAAAAAAGTTTGCCAACCCCAGACATTTCTTACCCCAGACTTGGAATCAGCCATTTCCAAAAATCCTGGTTACTTTTAGTGGGAAACCACAGTTCAGAACTACAAACTGGGTGCTGGGGATGCTCATTGCTACTGGTTTAATCATTGTTTCTAGGTTTTTATAGAGGACACAGACAGGGAGAATATATATTTACAGATAAAATGTTCCATTAGAGGGTTTTAAGTAAGGGAGCAACATGATCTGATTTACGCTTTTGAAAGATCTTTCCCCTGGGAGAGAATGAACTATGGGGACCAGAGGGGAAGCAGGAATGCATATTAGGATGTTGTTTTCCAAGAAAGAAGTGATAGGACTGCAGCAGTGGAGACAAGAAGTGGTTGGATTCCGGCTATATGTGGAGATAGAGCTACCATTTATATATATATATATATATATATATATACACAAACATACACACATACATGCATATATATATGTATGTAGCTGATGGATAGGATGCAGGGAAAGAGAAAAGACCAATTTCTAAGTTCTGACCTGAAAGTAGGTAGGTGGTGTTTCCATTCACTGACCTCAGAAAGCCTGGGGAAGCAGGTCCGTGGAAGGGAAATCAAGAGTTTGTTTTGGACACATTAAGTTTAGACATCCAAGTGGAGATGTCACTCAGTGTTGGATATAAAAGTCAGGAGTGCAGAAGCAAGATCAGGGTTATAGCTATAGATTTGGGAGTCACTGGTACATTGGTGGTCCTGGATGAGAGCACCTAGTGGAAGAGCAGGATGG